CCTCACAGTACATCGGCTCATCACACGCACCACAATACATAGAGTTCACACTCGATAGCGGGGCCACTCACACCGTGCTCAAGGAGACCCTCTCCTTCAAACCTTACCCAACACCTATCCCTCTCTTAGGAGCTGACTCAAGCTTCACCACCCTCGCCAAGGGTACCTCCACAGTCCCATGCCCCGCCTTCCCATCCGGCACTGTCACTGGCATGTGCGTGCCTTCACTGCGTCACAATCTAGTTGCCCAAACAGAAATTCAGGAGGCAGGGCTACGCACCATCTTCCCAGAGAACGAGGACTATTGCGACATCATCGATCCACGCACCAACAAAACTCTGGCCCGCTACACCCTCAACAGCAACGGCCTCTACACGCTACGCGTCCCTCTCCCACAGGTGTCAACCACCCAAGCACAGGCCACTATCACACCATGCTCATGTCGCACCCTCTCCAACCCGACCATCCTCTACCACCATCGGCTCGGGCACCCAAATTTCCGCACTCTTGCTGACATGGCCTCCAAGAAACTTCTCCTCGGCCTGCCAGCCGCACTTCCCCCACCACCTGACTCACCAGCTCCCACGTGCCTTGATTGCACCAAGAGCAAACTGCGCCAACAACCCCATGCTGCCTCACCCACAATCGCTGCAGCACCACTGGACCTCGTGCACATGGACGTCTGGGGCCCTGCCCCTGTTCTCGCACGAGGTGGCTATCGCTACTTCCTTATCATTGTGGATGACCACTCCCGCTATGTCTCTGTTCACCTCCTCCACACTAAGGCTGAGGCACCCGAGGTCATCATAGCGTGGGTCAAGCAGGCACAGACCACTTTTGACCGCAAGGTCAAGCGCCTTCACTCGGATGGGGGGGGTGAGTTCTGCAACGACAAGCTCAAAGCCTTCTGCTCCTCCGAAGGCATCCAGCAAAACTTCACCCTCCCTGACAGCCCTCAACAGAACGGCATAGCTGAGAGCCGCAACCACACCCTGGTGCAGATCACTCGGTGCCTCCTCAGCCACTCCAACGCTCCTCACTCTCTTTGGGGGTACGCTCTCTACCACGCTGCCCTCCTCTACAACCTTTACCCCCACCCGCACCTTCCCGACACCACTCCAACCACACTCTGGCTCGGGAAAACGCCCACTGCTCGCTCTCTTCGCGTTTGGGGATGCACCGCCTATGTCCTCCTCAACCCTCAGGCTCGACGGCATAACGGTGGCAAGCTCGGTCCCAAGACTCAGACGTGCATCTACCTCGGGCACAACGCCGACTCACCTGACTACCTCTTCCTCAATCCCTCCACTCACCAGTTGGTCAGGAGCCGTGACGTTGTCTTTGATGAGACCCGCCCATTCTACTCCCCTTCGGGACGGGACCCTCTCCCTGATCCACCCTCCCTCGTGTGGGCAGACTTTGATGCGCCTCCCGACCTCCCGCCTGCTCCTGCTCCCTCACCTCCTCCCTCTCCTGCCATCGCACCATCTCCCTCTGAGGTCACTGACCCGGCCTCACCGGTGTCTTCGGCAGCTGCTCCTCCCTCCCCCTCACCTTCCCCACTTCCCGCTGCGCCGCCCCCTCCGATCGCACCTATCACCTACCATCGGCGGTCCCACCCTCCGGCCCCACCTCCTCCCCCGGCTCCCCCCACCACAGAGGAACCCGCTCTCCCACAGTCGCCCGAGCTGATCACGTACCGCCGGCGACCCCTTCCCCCGCCCAAGCCTGCTAAGTCACCCTCTCCGACCCCGCCAGCCCCACCCTCTTCCCCGGTGGCTCATGGCACTCGCTCACATCGCGCTACTCTTCCACTCGCGATGGTTCTTCGATACACCGCGATCACACCGCCTCCTCCTGCTGGGGGGGATGTGCCCTCTACCCTTCTAGAAGACAGGCATGAGGAACTGTGTGATCTCCATGCAGTCCTTCCTCAGCTCTCACACATCTTCCCCGACATCACTGGCTCACCCTCCCTCAACTTCGCGGAGAACCCGACCATCCCTATCCCTCTCACCGTCCAAGAGGCTCTCTCAGGCCCTCATTCTGCCAAATGGCGTGCTGCCATGGACGCGGAGATTGCAGCATTCACCCGCAACCACTCCTTCGACGACGAGACTCCACCTCCAGGAGTCAACATCGTCGGGGGCAAGTGGTTGTTCCGTGTAAAACAGCTCCCAGACGAGGCACCGGTGTTTAAAGCGCGCTACGTAGCCAAGGGCTTCACCCAGCAGCAGTACCGCGACTTCTTCCTAACCTTCTCCCCCACATCCAAACCTCCCACCATTCGTACGCTCATGGATGTCGCAGCTCGAGAAGACTTCGAGATCAAATCCATGGATGCCTCATCCGCCTTCCTACAAGGACGTCTCAAGGAGACAGTGTTCATGGACAGACCAGAAGGCTTCCCAGGAGATTTCCCTCCCAACACTGTCTGGAAGCTGAATCGCCCCGTCTACGGCCTTAAGCAAGCCCCTCGCGAATGGCACAACAAGGTGAAAGAAGTCCTCCTCTCCCTGGACTTCCACCCTTCAACTGCTGACCCGACTCTCTTCATCCGCCGTCATTCTGAGCCCTTCTACATCCTAGTCTACGTGGATGATTTCATCCTCGTGGCCAAGGACTCGGCCCAGATGACCTCAGTCCAGGCAGCCCTAAGCAAGGCTCTCCAGATGAAAGACCTCGGTGACCTCAAGCACTACCTGGGGATGGAGATCACTCGTGATCGCAAGGCTCGCACCATCTCACTCTCCCAGGAGTTCTACATCGACAATGTGCTCAAGCGATTTGAGATGGAGCTATGCACACCTGTTGCCACCCCGCTGCCGCTGCAACACCTCCTCACAGCTCCAGCGGTACCCACACCAGAGGCCTGCTCTGAGCCATACCCGGAGCTTGTTGGGTCCCTCATGTACGCCATGATGTGCACCCGGCCAGACCTGGCCTATCCTGTCAGTGTCCTCTCTCGCTACGTGGCCCCTGGACGCTTCACTGACCTTCACTGGAAGGCAGCCAAGCGGGTGTTGCGCTATCTTCAGGGCACCAAGTCTCACGTCCTCACACTCGGTGGGCTCTCCCCTCCTCGCCTAGAGGGTTACACCGACTCCTCCTGGGCTGATGACCAGACCGACCGACGCTCCTCTCAGGGGTACTGCTTCACCCTTGGGAGCGGAATTGTCAGTTGGCGCTCCACCAGGTCGTCTGCAGTCTCCCTCTCCTCATGTGAGGCAGAGCTCTACGCAGGCACCATGGCTGCTCAGGAGGCTCGTTGGCTCACCTTCCTCCTCCAGGAACTTGGTTTCCCACAGTCCGCCCCTACCCTCTGGTGTGACAACCAGAGTACCATCCACATCTCTCAAGACCCTGTGTATCACACCCGCACCAAGCACATTGAACTCCGGCACTTCTTCATCCGTGACCTTGTCCAACAAGAGCAGTTGAAAGTGGAATACGTTGCATCTGACTGCAACCTGGCTGATCTGTTCACCAAGCCCCTTGGGAAAGTTCCCCACCACCGTCTCCTTGGCGCCATGGGGCTCTGTGCTCCACCCTCTCTACCCTGAGTTCGATTGACGCCTATGGGGGGGTGTTAGTGTTAGTCTTCAATCTCACAATTTGTACTTTGTATTTTCTATATCCTAGAGTAGTGTAGTTTGCACATTGTGTTTGGTTGGGTGTACACCTACATCCCAACCAAACCCAAATGTAATCTCCAACCAATCTCCAACCCACCAATTGGAGATTGCCTTGGGATTACCCCCAATCCCTAGAGATTGCCCCCGATTCCCTTCCCCATCCTTTTCCTACCCCTCTTGGATGTACTTAAAGAGCTTCAAGCTCATTACTAATGCATCGCTTCTAAGCCTATTTCTGACACACTACTCTTGGCACACAATTATATGAAGGTTGCTGCTATTACCTATTTATCTTAGGCCTTTCTTAATTGTGTGACAAAGCATACAAGTGTACAGCGGATGAGAGGAAACAAAAGAGGGAGGAGAGGGAAAGATGAAGAGCGAAAATAGGAGAGGGAGAGCGAGAAGAAATGTCTGCAAAAATGGATAGCCTAGGAGAGGGAGACTAAGAAACAGGCGAGCAGATCTTCCCGAGCTCCTCTGCAGGCAATGCCCCGCCCCCTGCTCTGCCTCTCTGCTCTGCCTCTCTGCTCCGCCTCTCCGCTCTGACTCTCCTTTCTGCCTCTCTGCTCTGCCTTGCTAGCTGCAATATTTTGCATTCTAGTCGTACAAGTGTTGCACCCAGTTCTGGGTGTACACTCCGCTCAAGATATTCCATCCAATTCTAATTTGGTTCGCCCCAGGCCCCATCCGCATGTGACGGGTGGCAACATTGCTGGCCTTCGTTTCACCCCAGAAATCATTGGGTAATAAAACATATTGGTTACCCCATCATGTTAGTGCGCCCTCTCTTCGTTACTCCCACTTCTCTCACTATGTAAACGCTCACTCTCTTAATGAAGATAACTCTTGAATTCACCTCATCCGAACTACAAAATTCACAACATTATTAGTTACTACCCGTATCATTGGATGACATGTGCTGTACTCTGAGATGAGATTCATATGGATGATTGTTTTAATTCCCTTCAGCATATGTCTGGTTTTTCATTCCCTCGATCCTCACAGGCCCAACAGGCCCAGTGGGAACTCTGAATTTCAACATCCAGAATGGAGTGACTATAAAAGAATGGGCACAATGCTCGAAACCGAACATGTTCGTGCTTAAGGCAAACATGAAGGTGTTGGCCTCTATAATCGAACACCCGAACACCACTCTTCGCTGAATGTATTCGACACATGTCTGACCCGAACACATTCTTGTTCAAGTTTTTCTCACGTCTAGGTACCTGTATTGGCAGCACAAACGGGCAAGTGAGGGTCAGCGAGCACTGCATGCCCATGGAGAGAGCACCATGGATGGAGGCAAGTGATGACGTGAAGTGGGGGCGAGGGAATGCAGTAGGGGATGCAGCGGGTGGGAGCTTACATCAAGCGCAACCTTTTTAAGTTTGAGAGTCCCAAGGGAATAGATCCTGTGAACTGGTTGTTGGAGAGATCTCTGATGTTGACAGGGGCACGACAGGAAGGGAAGGGAAGCGAAGGGAAGGAGGGAAGGGAGGAGAGAGAGAGGGGGGGATGGATGAGTCAAGGGAAGGGAAACAGGGAGGGAGGGAATTGGAGAGGGAGAGAGGGACGGAGGGAGGGTGTGAGGGAGGGAGGGAGGGAGGGAGGGAGGGAGGGGAGGGAGGGAGGGAGAGACGGACGGACGGACGGACGGACAGACGGACGGACGGACGGAAGGACAGACGGAGGGAGGGAGGGCGGGAGGGAGGGAGGGAGAGAGGGAGGAGGGGAAGGAGGGAGGGATATGGAAAGCCTGCCTTTGTGTCATCACACAGAAATGCTTGGATCTTGAGTGAGAGGAGGTGCAAAGGCGAGGAGCCAAATCAGTAGTTGCGTGATGTGGAAAAGGGGGTTTTGGGAGGAAATTTGAATCCTCTCAGGATTCAAATCACAGGTTGCTACAGAAATGCTGACAAGGGGAGAAGCAACAGGGCGTGAGTAGGTAAAAGGCTGGGATGCAAGGGGAAAGATGGCGAAAGGTAGTACTGCAGAGAGGAAGGAGAGTTGGAGGGAGGGGGTGGCAACTCACGAACATGGGTATTATGGTGCAGTAGTCGTGCCATGGTCACACACACTGCATGGCATGGTATGGCATGGCATGGCATGGCATGGCATGGAATGGCATGGCATGGCATGGCATGGCATGGTATGGCATGGCATGGTATGGCATGGCATGGTATAGAATGCATGGCACAGCATGGCATGGCATGGCATGGCATGACATGACACGGCATTGCATGGCACGGCATGGCATGGCATGGCACGGCATGGCATGGCATGGCACGGCATGGCATGGCACTGCACGGTATGGCATGGCATGGCACGGCATGGCATGGCATGGCAGGGCACTGCACGGGATGGCATGGCATGGCACGACATGGCATGGCATGGTAGGGCATGGCACGGCATGGCATAAAATGGCATGGGATGGAATGCCAGACATGGTATGGCATGGCATGGCACGGCATGGCATGGCATGGCATGGCATGTCATATGATAGCATGACACCCCATGGCACAGCACGGCGAATCCCGAAGGCACAGTAGGGTGCTTCGGTGTGGATGCGAGCTTACAGAGTGTTGAGACCGGTGAGCACGCTTAGGACAGAAGAAATGGTGCCTGAGAGGCGGTTGTTGGCCACAGACCTGCATTGCAAGCCAGGCCATAAGTACATGCATTGGTAACACAACAAGGGTTCCACCATTGATGCATTGGTGTCTGCTCTGCCTCTCAACTATACATAAGCATTTTAATAGTATGACAAAACTCGACTCATTTTCTCTAACTCGGTCGAGTTTTTTCCCAAGTTGGTTCTTGGTCGGATTGAAAATTTTCACTTGGTAACGCATACAACCGCCACATGGACGATTTGACAAACTTGGCACCACCCCCATTCCCGCCACCCCACCCAACCTTCTCTTCCTCGGCCCTCAAAGAGATGGTTTTGCCACCTGCTTCATCCATGCCACCTGCTTCATCCATGCTACTGCACGGACCTGGCAAAAACACGCGATGCAAAATGGAAAATCATGAAAACTCGATTGCTCATGAAAACTCGCTACGCTGCCTCTCTGCACTTCAATGCCCCAGAACACATAATGGAGCGACTCACAAAAACAGCATGTTTTTCATTGCAGACATTTCATTGGGAAGCGACCCAGAAAAGGAATTTTGGCCGAGGTACCTGCATTGACAACACACACGGGCGTTTGAGGGTCAACCACAGCAGTGAATGAAGGGGAGGGAGCAGCATGGATGGAGGCAAGTGATGGCGTGCAGTGGGGGCGATGGGGACTGCAGTTGGGGATGCTTACATCCCGCTTATATACTGTAGCTTGGAAACTTGCGAAGTAATAGTCCCTGAGAACTGGTTGCTCGTGAGATCTCTGATGTTGGCAGGGACGCAGAAGGGATGGGTTGGGAGGTGAGGAGGGAGGCAGGGGGAGCGGGATTGAGGGACTGAGGGAAAGAGGGAGGGAGGGAAAGAAGGTGGGAGGGAGGCACGGAGGAAGGACAGAAGGGAGGGAGGGAAGGAAAAAGGGAGGGAGGGAGGGAGGGAGGGAGGGAGGGAGGGAGGGAGGGAGGGAGGGAAGGAGGGAGGGAGGGAGGGAGGGGGAGGGAGGGAGGGAGGGAGGGAGGGAGGGAGGGAGAGAGGGAGGGAGGGAGGGAGGGAGGGAGGGAGAGAGGGAGGGGAGGGAGGGAGGGAGGGGGGAGGGAGAGAGGGAGGGAGGGAGGGAGTGGAGTAGGGAGGAAGGGAGAGAGGGAGGAAAGGAGTTAAGGAGGGGAGGAAGTGTGAATCAACAAAATATGTTTGGGTCTTGGGAGTAGTGGGGGTGGAGTGGCCGGAGTGTGCAAAGGCGAGGAGCCTGGAAAGGTTATTTATGCTGACAACGTCATGGTCAGTAGACATTGCGATGGGTTGACAAGGGGTGGGTGGAAGACAGGGTTACTAGAGTTATTTTGACAGAATTCTAGTCGACTTGGAATTCAAATTACTGGTATCTTGAGCCATGCTGACAAGAGGGGCAGCAACAGAGAATGGGTGGGTGATGTGGTGGGGTGGCAGGAGGCAGACAGAGACAGGCAATGCTGCAGAGAGGACAAGGAGGTGGAACGTGAATGGAGCGAGTGGGAAGCACGAGCTGGTGTGCTTTATGTTCAGTGGGCGTGGCACGGCATGGCATTGCATGGACATGGCATGGCAAGGCATGGCAAGGCTTGGCATGGCATGGGACGGCATATGGGCACAGTAGGGTGCTCTAGTGTGCAGGCGAGCTCACAAAACGTAGAGATAGGGGAGGGTGCACAGGTTAAGAATGGTGCCTGAGAGGCGGTTGTTATTCAAGGACCTGAATGGCATCAGTAGAGAGAGAGAGAGAGAGAGAGAGGCATCGTTGTTTGGTGCATAAAAAACGTTTGGGTGGCATGGCTTATTAATGGCGTGGTGCAGTGATTAGTTCATGGAGCACATTGATGGTAGCAATTGCTAGAATCAGCCTCTAAACACCTTGCTTGCTGTAATGTGATGTGACTCGGTGCAGGTAAGGAAACATGTACAGACATCTAGGGAGTGGTGCAAACGTCGCAAACGAATATCTCAATTTGGAACACAGGTCACTCCTGCTATGGGAGGCTGATGCAAGTCTGTGTTTTGAGTCAAGCCTACAGCTGTTACAGCAAGCATTACTGACAAAAACTGCATCTCTGGCAAGAGGCCGATGTCACTGGGAAGCATTCCCATCAGCTGGTTGTTGCCCAAGTGTCTGGTTGCAGCATAAGGGATGCAGAGAGGATGTAAGAAGGGAGAGTATCGTGGCACGGAGCAGCGCGAATGTGGATGACTATGGTCCACACACAGTGACATCTCTTAAATACGACAGAGGCAACAGCGGGCAACCAGCCAAGGTCATCAGAGGTGAACATCGGTCCAAAAGACGGAAAAACAAAAAAAGGGGGGGGGGGGGGGGGGGGGGGGGGGGGGGGGGGGGGGGGGGGGGCGTATGGAGCCAGAGGCGCACAGTTGTGTAAGAGTTGCCAGTTTGCTGAGTTGGCTGGGTATGGTGCCCGATAGCTGGTTATTGTTGAGTAGACTGCAAGGGATGTGGGAAAAAAGAACAAGAACGAGGGAATGAACACTATGGATGGGAAGTCACAAGGGGCTACAAGCCTACAAGGAACTTAGGTTGACACAGCCACCAGGAAAGCAAGGGCCAGAGGTCAAGTGCAGTCTGAACAGGAGATGGCGGAGAAGGAATGGGAGGGAGGCAACAGATGCAAAGAAATTGGCCCTCTTGTGGAGGAGAGAGAGGCAACATGCACTCGTGCAGAGAAGTAGCATGCCCAGGTGCAGAGAGGCAGCATGCGCAGGTGCAGAGAGACAACAAGCACCGGCAAGCAGGCATTGAAGGTTGTACTTACACTTGTCTGAGGCTGAGCATGCCAGATATCATGCCCGCTGGAAGGGAGCCCGTGAGTTGATTTGAATTCATCACCCTGATGCCAAGCAGCAGCACAAAGAGGCGGGCAGAGCATGTGCAAGGGTAGGGATGGAGCAGGCAACTGTGGGCGTGCATGCATGCGTCCGTACCCTAAGCAAGCACACGAATTAGCGGTTATGAAAACGAAATTGGATGGAAATTTGAAACAAGAAAACACATGGATATTTGAGACGTCACTCTAAAAAGGAAAAGAAAAAACAAGAAAAAAAAACACACAGCACACACACACACACACACACACACACACACACACACACACACACACAAACAAACAGGTATGGTGCCAGAGGCGCACAGTTGTGTGACAAGTGACAGATTGCTGATTTCGCTCGGTATGGTGCCTGATAGCTGGTTGTTTTGGAGCAGACTGCAAGAGATGCGAGAAACAAGAACATAAGCTATGCATGGGAAGTCGTGAGGAGAACAAAAGCCGTGGATGGGAATTCACGAGGGGCTACAAACAACTTAGGTTGACAACCACCAGGAAAGCAAGACTCAGGGGTCACGTGCAGTTTAAAAGGGAGAGGGCAGGGTGGAGTGGGAGGGAGACGTACACATGCATACAGCACTCTTGTGGAGAGAGAGGCAACATGCACTGTCAACCAGGCATTGGAGACTGTGCTTACAGTTGTCTGAGGTTGGGCATGCCAGACAGCATGCCCCCTGGAATGGAGCCCGTGAGTTGATTCCCAGACAGCCGCCTGATGCCATGCAGGACAGAGAGGTGGCCAGGGCTCATGCAAGTATAGGCATGGGGCAAGCAAGAGGTGAATGAGGCAATGGGAAATGCGTGTGTGTACGTGCATGCGTGGATATTTGAAACAACAAACACAGATGAAAGGAAAGAGAAACATTCTGGAAGGAAACTCCCAAAGTAAATACACTTACAGTCGCAACAAGTTGCTGAGTCCAGTGATTGCAGGGATTGTGCCGCTGAGCTGATTGGATTGAAGATCCCTGCATCCGTCACACTCCCACACCGCTCCACGGTCCCACACATTGTGACAAACAAACAGATCACCATGGCATCAGCATGTGACACAACAGGATGGCGTGAGCATGGCATCAGACACAATAATGCCCCCTGTTATCAGACCCATCATCCACCCACCCACACACCGCCATCATTCCAAACCTCAACTTTACAAGTCCACTTTCCTTGTTTCTGCGTCCACCCTCCTTCCACCTACCCCCTCCCCTGGCATCTCCTGAATCATCTTATCACGTCTATAGTTGTTGAGTGATGGCCATCAGTACCCTCACAGTGCAATCCACATTGCTCAGTGCAACACACATTGCTCATTAAACATTACATATCCAACTCCTATAGCTTCCCCTAGTTCCTTACCACACACCCTCCTCACCTCACTTTTCCCTCCAACCCTTCTAATCAGGTGAACGTTCCCCATTGTACCCCCATCTGCCCCTATCCAACCCCAATCCAAACCCAATGTAGCCTCAGCCTAACAGAAACTTTCCCCCAACCTAATCCCAAGGTCATGGGCCTCACCCCATCCTCACCCCAAGCGGACCCCAAGACCTCCCTCGTGCCCTTACATTTCAATCAGAGCAGTAGGGTTGACGAAGGACGATGGGAGGGGTCCTGTGAGCTTATTCATACTTAATGTCCTGCACAGGGGTGGTGGGGCGGGTGGAGGAGGATAGGAGGGAGGGGATGGGGAGCAGGGATGGGGATCAGGACATAATTGAAGGCTTGGAATAAGGCAGGGGGTGGTTGGAGTAGGGCAGGAGGTGGTTGGACTAGGGCATCCGACCATGCACCAGACATGCTACCTGCCGTTCATGAACCCAGCACACACCTGAGCGTGCACACGTGGTCACACAAACACAGCATATGGCTTCTCACTCACAGTGAGGTTAGCTGAGAGAGGTTGCCAATGCTGCGGGGTATGCTGCCATTGAGCCCTTTGCTAGTCAGGGCCCTGCACGGGGCACATGGGGCAGCACATGGGGCAGCTGAGCATGCTTTTATCTGAAGATGTAACTTTGTTGAGCCGCTTATGCAAAAGCGAAGCAAACTGGGAAAAAAAAAACTTTCAGTGCTCTTGGAAAGAGGAGGAGGGGGGGGAGAGGAGAGGAGGGGGTGGAAGGAGGCAAGAGGGGAGGGTGGGAGGGGAGACGCACCATTTCCTCAAATTACACACTATGACGAGAGAGACCGACATGCGGGTCCCAGATTCCCTTAATTTGTGAGGTACCGTGGAGAAAAGGGCCATAGCTCCTTTCCCCTAGGCAGGGGAGAGATGACATTACTAAAAGCATCCAATGATTAATGGGCAACTGTAGGACGCTTCAATTCAGCAGTGAGCCATTCGCTTGACTCACAATGCAGTGACATCGCCATCGGTATTGCAAGTGACAGCATTGAAGGTGCCACAGTCGTTGCCAGGTAACCACGTTTCACTGCCTGTGAACGCCCCCCACTCCTGCTTCAGCTCTTGGAGGACCGACCCTGGCGTGGAACAAGGGAAAGGAGCAACTTGCATGAAGGATATGTGCCTCACAGTTGGAGTTCGCTGCTGCTTGCAGCATGGGCGGTGCCCGCAGCATGCAGTGCAATGCGGGAAACATGCATGCTCCCCACTCCCTTATTTGTGGAGAACACGGGAGCAGGATGAAAGTGGTCTAGGGAGAGAGGGGTCGAGGAGGAAAGGGGGGAGGGGGGAGGTGGAAAAGGGGCTGGGTGAGAGGAAGGATGGAGAGGGAGGAGTGTCGTGACACCTGTGGGCCTGTACAAAGGACTAAAAGGCTACCGGCGCTGCGCCTCTTAATTACCCCAGTTCTGCCCACCCGAGGTCCAGAATTTTTAAACTTAGGAAGGTCGATTGGGGTAAAAGATGCAAGTGGCTCGCGAACCAGGGTGGTGTCGAAATCGCGGGTCACAGAGTGTAACCAGATCTGGCATGCAACGTAGAAATTCGTTCGTATACGGTTTCGGACGAGCTTCGAATCTGCATGCGAAATCTTCAGTGCTATCGTCCTAGACAAAACTATTTGATAAGTTAGGAAGGTTGGGGCGATTTGGGGATTCTTGGGACTCCGGTTTTAAGAAGGGGCGCATAGTGTGCGTGGGAGAGTTGGAAGCTGCATCACCCTAGACGTGTGGGAGTGCGGGTGCGACTCTCAGGTTGTGCTGAGTGTCAGGCTGACAACGGCCCTTTTCCCGTCCTAGAGTGGCGTCCACTCTCTAAAACAGTGTGCGAGGAGAGAGTTCTGTAGGAACGTGTCCAGACAAGGTAGGAGGAAAATGCGAAAGTGGGATAGGAAAAAACACGTAACTAAGATTTTCGGGTGCGCCTCTCAACAGCCCTTGGGCCAGTGGTCTAGCACGGGGCATTTAAGGGGCGTGGAGAGAGGTTGCGTGGGAGAGGGAGAACATGGCGAGGGGTAGGCTAGCGCCCCCGTCAGAGAGTGGCTACAAAAAGATTTCCACTCTCGCGTGCAAAGAACGGAAGTTTCGTAGATGAACGGAGGGAGAAGGGAGAGTGAGAGGACAAATACACGATGTCGTCAAGTTGACGACAAGCGGTGTTTAGGTGGACATATGACATTCTCAGAGCTTACATTGATCGCTTTTGACCTTGGCAGCACGGCTTTCAGGCAGAAATGGAAGTTGCGAAACTCCGAAGGCGATGATGATGGCGACAGTGATGATATGTTGCGGATATCGCTGCCGCCGGCGCTTCCAGTCGTGCTGGTGGGTGCTGCTGGTATTGCAGGTCGTCATGCTGTGGTTGGGTCTGTGGTTGGGTCTGTTACGGGTAACCTTCACATGCATGTGCCAACAGATGCCTACTAAATCTCCAAGACATGCTGCTGCTGCTGCTGCTGCTGCCACCGCTGCATCTGACGCTATGCTCTTCCAGGGCCGCGGCATATTCCGCGGATAATGTAATGCTGTTTGATGCTGCTGCTCGGTTGCAAGACCCTCGTAGCGAAACTACAACTACTAAACCGCTTACAAAATAATGTGGAAGGAAATAAAGACTGTCAGAAAACAAGAAACGGAAAGTCTCGCGCCCATGAGGTTCGAGGGGAGTAAACAGAAAGCCCAAAACGAAGAGCTCCCACCCCAACATATCCGTCATAGATCCTTGTTCTGTCCCACCCCAAGGAAGTGGCGATTTTATCGAGGGCGCATGGGTTCTTGCGCAACCAGCATTGAGTACAGTACAGTCGATGCTCAGCCTATCACAAAAATTTGCTCACACAATTAGAAAATCAGTCACTCGCGAACGTTTTGCCTGTGAGTGGTGATTGTGCTGATTTCGGGGTACAGTCACCAAGTCGAGGAAGAAAAACATCTACAGTTCATAAACAACAACGGCTGCCTGTCATCAGAATTGCTTACCCGGTTACGAACTTAAACCCCTAAACTCGTTTCCCATTCCGATTTCATTTTACAATCACATTTTTGCCCGTGGCGACAAGGGCGAATGTGGCGAAATAATCAAAACTCATTTCACTCACATGCCGCCCGCCTGCCTGATGTTCTTGAAATGAGCACCGACTGTACACTAATTTCTCTGTCACCAGCAGGTCGCGACAAAAGTCCTGCGCTTTGATGAGGCAAGTACTCGACCTGGTCATGCTGAGGTGTGCAGATCTGAAACCGACCACGCACGCTCTGTAACGAAATTGACGGGTGTCACGTTCTTATTCATTGTCAGGTTGGCAAACTGGAAGCGGAGACCCGTAGTATCTGGGCTTGCGTGTCAGATTCTGCTGCGTTGCAGTTCTGTGGTGTGGTGTGGTGGGGTGGCGCTTGCCCACCAGCCGCGAAGGGTTCCACACCGCATGAGCGAGATGTTGACGAAGGAACAGACAGAGCTTCCGAACAACATGCTGTAAACAGTCTTATTTGTTTTTTGGCCAGGGCTGTAAATTTTAGGGCTTTTCCCTGATTGCCCTAGAAATGAAAAGCTTGGTTATGGGTTGCCCTATAAATCACAGTCCTGATTTTTGAAAGACGTAAAATTTGTTTCATTGGACTTGTAAAGGGTCGAATTCTGAAAGAGAAGGGATATAAATTATTCTGGCATACTTCATAACAGTAAATTTTACCCATATTTCCACACTATGTTCTAATGCATTACTCAATTGGAAGTTTTCAATAACAAAATAAAATGTCATTTTCATCAAGAACAGTTTAGACTCTTTCATCTCTGTATGCTCACTCTTTACACTGACTTTAGCATCGAGCATTTATTAATTATTCACGGAACTTGGTTTCTCACTTGCCTATGTAATTTCTTTTTCGCATGTCACCCATTAAAAAAATGAATAATTTCACATGTAGCGTAGAAGCTTACTTCTCTGAATCCGTTACTTGACCATTAGGAATGGTGTGAACCCTTAAAACCTTGTTCTAGGGTGCTTACGAGTGATGCTTTTGTAACATGCCATTCGAGAAATGTTTAGGACGTGGGCCCAATTTACAGGGATAACTAAAACAACAGGAGCTAGATTGTAAGGGTGACATCTACGTTCCTTAGTCGTTTGCTTGTTATCTCTTTACGCACGCATTCACTAGGAGAATTAGCAAGAGTTTCACTATTAAAAGTCCACAAAAATAGTTGACAATGGCAAAGTTGCGGAGATAACTATATCAACAGGAGCTAGACTACGGGTTAGGCACGGGGCATGAGTGATCTCAGCGTTCGTTCACTTAGTCGTTTTCTTGTGCGCACACTACTTGCTAATTTACGAGGAAGAATTGCAAGAGTTTCACTAGAAAAAACATGACAACAATGATACAGATCGATTGCAACAAGATTGGCGAGACTGACTACATCAGAGCTAGCCTACAAGTCGGTCGACTGCAAGCGCAGCACGGTCGACCGCGTTCCAGCACGACTTGGTCGACCGCGCTCTAGCAGTGCAGAGTCGCGGCTTGCCAGCGCTGCAAGTCGAGGGTGTGCCAACGTCGCACCCGCTTCGCAGGTGCTCGCAGATGATTGGCGGGCTGTGTCTTTTCACCTGCACAGCGCACACACCAGGTATCAATCTCGTGTTGACGATTGCATCTGATCAGCCACGCCGACCTTGGGATACTACCACCGAGATCGGTCTCGCCACTACCACATGGGCAATCGTCGCGCTCCTCCGCAAAGCCTCGTCACCCAGGTAGCCTGGTCGATCGGGCAACCACGTCGACCAGCTGCTTCGCCATGTACCCGTGGACCACCCGAGTCGACGACCACCTCAAGTCGACCTCACCTGGTCGGCCTCTCCCTTGGTCGACCAGCTCCAGGTCGACGACACTTTTGGTCGACCAGCTCCAGGTCGACGTCACAGCATACCTGTCAGCCGACCACACTTAGTCGGTTTCCCCTGGTCGGCATCACCAAGTCGACACCTCCGATGTTGACCTCGCCAGGTCGACCACCCGAAGTCGGCACCTTCCCAAAGCCAACGCCTGTGCAATGGCGCCCGTTCGGATCGACCAGCCCCGTCGACCAGCTCGCCCACTGCTGTAGGTCGGCTGCACCCCGCACACCCGATTATGAAGTCGGCTCTGCCCAAGCGAGGACGGGGCCAACAACAACTCCCCTTGACAAAAGCAACACTGACTACTGTCGAATGAAATTGCCCCGCCCTCGCTTGAGCATAGCTGATCTCGCTGTAGACGGGAAGTTCGCGACGGATCGGTCGACGAAATGGGCTTCTGCAGTTCGGCGGAAGTTGCGGTCGAGCAGGCTCTGCTCGACCGGGTCTGGTCGACGAGCTGTGTGCGACGAGCTTTGGTCGACGATCTCTGCACGACGATCTCCTGTCGAAGATCTCCTGTCGAAGAGCTCTGGTCGAAGAACTCTGGTCGAAGAAGTTCTGCTCGGCGGATTCTGTTCAACCGAGCAGAGTTGAGCTGATCGGCTGAAGTTGCAGAGTTGCGCGAAACTCTGCGAAGGCGTGCGAACTTTCGCCCAGGAGATTTTGGCGAAGTTCTACCTGCGGAACGGCATCACGTGGTCGACGGCGCGCACCTGGCGAAACCGACGACACGCTTTTTACCTGGCACCTGCGCAATGTGCCTGACGGTGAAACCGCCAACCTGCACCTACTTGGTAGGTGCGCACATCTGCGCAGATAGACAACCTGCGACCGTAGAAAGTTACCTGCGATTGCAGATAGTCACCTGCGACTGCAGTGCTGGCAGACCGCGTGC